TTCAGAGAGGTCACTCACGCGTGCGACTTGGTGCTACTGCATGCTGTTGCCGTGGCTGTTGGTGCTGCCGCTTCGCGCATGTTTGTGTTAGACCAGCTTTCGTCAACAATGGCAGTCCAAGTCTCCGAAGCCGTTGTAGCTGGATTTTCAGCTGGATAAGCTGCTTCAAATGGACAGGAAAGCGGTTTGATTCGGGAAGAACTTCAATCCGTGCACCGGAAGATGGCCTCTCAACAGACGAAGCCATTGACTTAGACATGACCTGTCTTAACTGTTTGCTTGCTGCTGGTGCATGTGACTTCAACTTCAGGAAGTCGTACTGTGTCTCCATGAGATGTGTGAGCAGGATCGCCGACATTGAATTGCGTTGGCTGGACAGCTACCCGTCGATGGAGAGCAGTCTCCTGGCATCCGGGAAGAATCTTGCCTGCCGCTGGCTTTGGTGCCAAGTTCACTTTAGCTAGGCTAGCTTGGGGGTCCTATAAGCAGCTTCTCTGCCGTTCTGCCTTTCACTGCGATCAGGAATGCCGACTCCAGCAAAGTCGCATCTTGGCACTGCGTGTTCGTAAGTCTCAGTGCATATCTAGTCTGTGATCGATTTCCAGGCCATGCAGTACTTTAAGTACAGCCTTCATGTTCGGGCATCGGTCTCTTTTGTGTCCAAGCCAGTGTACTCGCTGGACCTACATCGCTCTGCAAGATGCTCGGTATCCTCTCGATCCCGATATTCAGCCTTTGAAAGGCAAACTCACCGCAAACGATCGACGAAAGCTGGGCGCATAGCACTGGGAGCAGAGGGCACAAGGGATGCCGGAACAGACCTGACTTTAGGTCCGGCGGTGTTCGAACCGACAACTCCAGGCTCTTTGAAGATAGATGCCCGAGGAGGCGAGATGCCCTCCCTGAGTCACTCGCAGCTGACCGATCTTAGCTGTGAAGGCTTGGCGGTTGTGTCTGGCCACGCCTCGCCGCCGGTCAGGGGATCTTTTATTTTGCCGAGCCTCGCCTGTAACCGAATGTCTGGCCTTCGACTGTCTTACTGCTTTGCTTTCCAAGGCAAGCCAAGCCGTGGACCTCTTTCTGCAAACTCCCGTCAAACTCACAAACACAAGGCGCTGCAACCCAATCATGTTCAGGCCAGTCATGAGGGCATCGCCAAACAAGTTGGTGACCAGGAGTCCGAACGATTGCTGGCAATGTGGCTTCTGGGACGGCGTCGCCCCTTCCTGGTGGTCCCTCGCCGACAAGCAGATGTGAGTCTGCCACAAGGGTGACACGTGTGCTTGCAGAACTTCTGCAGGAGTTTATTCACCTCGAGCCCCTGTCACGGTACATACGGTACCTGCTACATTGTCGTCGCACCGGTTGCTTGCGACCCCCGACAGGACGTGGATGGGCTTGACTTTCTGTTTTGGCAGCATCGGAGAAATTTCTACGGTTCTTGCAGGAGTCCGAACATGAAGTACACAAGATCACCATCCTTGGATGGACGTCATACGGCGACGATGCTGTAATTCGCAAGCTCGGCAGAGGGCCCGCGCGGAGATGCTTGCTTTCGTCGCGTCCAGCCAATAACAGTCTTTACCTAATAGCCTCGAGGCCTCGAGGTGTACGGGCGCAGTCAGCGCGAGAGTGCTGCAGTCTCCGCGAGGGATTGCAGGCTTTGCCAAAGGCACTTGCAATCTGCGAGTTGAGCCCCCTCGCATGGCGACGAGGTCACGGGATAATTGGATGGATCACTTCACAACTAGACGAGCAAATTTAAGCGGATACGTTTCGAAGGTAATTGTTTGTACAGGTCGCTGTCAGGCTATATCATATCGGATGCATCATCTCTCAAGAATTCGACGGATTTCGTGTACATGATCTACTCATCCAGGAATCGTCGGCTTGTTGATGCGAGCTGTTTTTGTTTCGTATCTAGAGTCCATGACAAGCATGACAGCGTGAAAACTAGGACTTCTTCAATCTCGGCAGCAAAATGTTGGAAATGTTAGTTCCGGTGAATTGGACAATGAGATGTACCACTAAGTTCCATCATGCTGTTGGTTGTGCACAGCTATATCAATAGCTATAGTATACGTGTGATCGAATGGAAGTCCTCCCAAATATGAAGTTTCCATGACTGCTGCAACCATGCAAGTGAAACTTGCCTGATCTAAGCAACCGAGATAGACCTGTGTATTCACGCATGGTGCGCAATTTCAGTCTGTGTGCAAGGTGATATGATGTGACCTTTCGCCAGAGGTCGTCGACAGCATAAGAGCAAACAACAATATGCGACTTCTCAGCGGTTTCCATCAGTCTCCTGCTTGTTTTCTGCCTTTCGGCCTAAGGCCAAGGCCAGGATCAAGCTGAAGACTAGTGAAGACTGAATCGTGCCTATCTCTACGACTGGCACTTGGGGCATCTTTGCGCCCGTGGCCTTGGGGTGCCGCACGTGCTGGAAAACGTAGAACCTGGGCAACCGCTGAACCATCAGAGCTGTTCCTTGTTTGCCTCGCAAGATCTTCGGACATGCTGAGAAATGTATACTTTCCGAGTAATCGGTTGGACATTCAAAACCCTCGAATTGTAGATGCTGGTAAGGCTTGTTGGAATGTCCAGGACCCTGCAGTGGGAACTCCACGAACTGTTGGATTAGAGTGTTGGGGCGTCTGAAACTTGGGTTGACTCCTAGAGACTCTGGGATGCTGGGGAAATTTGATTGCTTGTATGCCTGCCACGAAACAATGAATCTTAAACCCCTCGCGCCGACTTTCCCACCCGACTTTCCCATCCGACCCATTGACAATTGAGATCGTACCGCGAAATCAGACTCATACACTTCTAGTCGTTTGCAGCTTACTACAGCTGGCTCTGTACCCACCGGATCTGGCATGGGGTCTCTCACGTGATAACAGTTTTCCCTCTCTGATTGGTTACCTGTTCCTGCGTCATGCAATCACGGAGTAGTCCCCACCTTCTGATTGTCCAAGCTGACAAAAGGATGGTGTAGTTAAAGACTAATGTTTCGTCGGTAAGCTCTCTTCAATTCCATGAGCTCCTTGCTCTGCCAGCATCTGGAACCCTGTGCATTTTCATGTTTCTGCATTCTTGTCCTTTGCATTTTGCAAATATGAATCCTGTTCGGTGTTGTCGACCGCCTTCCGTGCTTGCCTTTACGTCACACACGACGTTGCGTCCCGTACCGGTAGTTTCCCAAGTATTGTGGCGGCTTCAGGGTTCTTTTCTAGTCGTTCATGAGTCGGCTGTGTAGCCTTGTAACCTTACATATTTCCTAAACTGGGCCCAGATCAGCTGCAGTGCTTCAGGCAAATCGTTTCCATCCTGTGCTTGCTGTGGGTCGAAGTCCGACAAAGCTCTTCGTCTCACTTGCGAAGCGACAACGTTGTCATGGTCCTATACGCAAGTACCAACGCCTGCCGTTTTGTGTTATGCTTTTCGAGATGTCGCCAATGCCACTGGTACCTTGCCCTTGTGTCTTTGAGCATCTTCTTACAACGCCGACGGCACGTTAGACAAGCGGCTAAATTTTCTCGTGCAATTATGACATATTCCTGTGATGGATAAACGGCAAACACGAGTTGAGGCGAACGAACTGTTGGAAAGCCGTGACTGCTAAATTGTCCTCGATGTTTTCCCAATTTCTATATTCTGGTGCAGCTCTTGGTCTTGCACATCTCAAGCTCTTTGTGGGAATCTTGTGCTCCTTTTGGTTTCGAGTGCGGCAATTGAAGGCTCTTTCAATAGAATGCCTAGCCTCAGTGCGACCACCAATTTGAAAACCTAGCTTGCGGCTGGTACTTGCAAGGTCTCTTGGCTCTAGTTCATGCATAGCGCCAACGTCAACCATCGTATTGGGATTCATGAGTTGACAGAACTTGTTTCGGAGTATGGGAAGTAGAGTCGCTGCTGAGCCAGCGAGTGCCAAAATACTATTACCTAAAACACCAGCTACTGCCGGACCTCCTTGAATCTTGGAGGCGCAATCTAAGGTGATGGGGCTACACTAAGTTTCGAAATGCACTCCCCAAACTGGAATGCCCCACCTCCGACTATCAGGCTCAATGGCAGGCACCTGCCGCCACTGCTTAAAGATGCACAGTTGATGCTGTAGTGTTTTTTTTGTGTACGTCCCCTTAATACTAGCGAATCGGCTCGTGTCTTTCTCGCAAGTTTTGAAGCATGTTCCACATTTGTTTTTTCAAAAGCATCGGCTGAACGTTCCAGGCGTTCTAGAACCATGTAAACCAGCTTAAGTTCTACGAGCTCTAGAGTCCAATCATTCCACAAGTTGTGGAGATCGAAAAAGAGTGTAGGAGTGCTCAAAAGTTCCGAGTTCCTGAATTTCCGACTGTCACACTGTAACGGTTGTTCACCTCTGACGGTTCTAGGGGCTCTAAGTCTAAGTGGTTCCAGGAGTCCATTCTAACGGAAGGTACAAAAAAGTCTTGAGGGCTTTACGAGGCGTCATGCAGCCCAAATGCCACGGCCGCGGGTTTGTGCACCCCAACTGCCGAACTCACGAGCGACGGGGTTGACGTGAGAAACAGCCGGATGCCACTGCACCTGACAAGACATTCTGCAGGGCTTCAAAGTGCTGTTGTTGGTCGGTCCCGTTGAGTTGGTGCAAAGATCCACATGAGCAAATTAGTATGTTTGTGCGTGTATCTTGGCACGCAGGGGCTGGTAGTTTTGTACAGAGTTGGTGAACCCTCAGATTGTTCGATACCTTTGTGTGTAGAGCAAACCCGCGGTCATAGTTTAGTGAACATGAGTCCATCTAGGGCCCCCTCCCCCTCTCTCTCTCTGTCTCTCTCTCTGTCTCTCTCTCGCTCTATGTCTCCCTGCGGAGCAACTTCTCGAATAATGGAATAATGTCCGATAGGGTGAGACGGCAAGACTTGTCAAGCGCGGTGGGTGAGGCAAAGCAGGGTGTAACAAGCCGGGTCCAAGAGGCTGAAGATGTGATTTTTTCCAGAGCGGGTCCAGCTAAGGTCGTTCGTTCCAGCCAACGAAGAGGCGCCGTCGTAAGGGCACAGATCAGGCATGGGTGTTCTTGAGCAGCTTATGGAGCAACGCAAAGCAGGTCCCAGTCGGAACAGGTCACGGTAGCAATCGCCTGTGCAAGTGGCAGGGGTAGCCTCCATTTCGAAAAAAAGTTAGACCCTCGCTCTTTCCCTTCGCCGCTCTCTCGCAGTACGAAGCGCAATGTCCTAGAGGCCATGAAGCTTCTCGTACAATCCAACACCAAGAGTGCGCACTGGCGCAACTGTTGGATGGATGCAGATGTCTCAGAAGAGTCAGGGTGCGTGGGGACCGAACAGGCAATTTCTGTAGGTTCGTGCCCTTGACACGAGCTGTAAAACAGATGTCACTGTAGGATGATGACTTGGATGAGTTGTACGAGGACGTGGTAGACTCGTGCAAGCCTTAGCAGTGCATAGCTGATAGCAAAAACCCGTCGTTTGCTGCCCGATACTTGCAGGCTGCAAGGGGCGCTGCGCGACTCCAGGCTCAACCTGCGAAAGGGCAACAGCACACCACTGTCGGAGAGCCATGTGCTGGTTACGACAGCTGGCTCTCCGACGGATTGTGGGGGTTGTCGTTTCGTGAAAAATGCGTCCGGTCCCTGTCAGTCCTCACACAGTACTTAATGTGAGAAGGACGATCCAACGCCAGCAAGGGGGTCCCCCACCTCCCTTCAGGGTACTTCTGCATATTTCTGCATACTGCCGTTTGCAATACTAATACACGTTGGTTCGAGCGATGCCACAAGCGCTATTCACGTACGGCTGGAGTGCAGAGGCTTGCACGGCTAACTTGAGAGCCCTGCGGCGAAGACGAGCAGCGAAACCTGAGCTTTTGTGGCCGTTGAGAGCTCGACGTGCCTCCTGTTCTTCACAAGCTTTTTGCAAGAGCACAGGGTGAACACAGCATGTCGTGAGGTCATTGCATTCATTGCCAGCACTGAATCCCGAGCAGTCCAGTGCAGGGAGAAGGGCAGCTGGGCTAGCCGTGGAAAGCATTCTGAATACACAGCACATGACAAACGTGACCCAGTTTGACGTCAACCGGGCAGCCCCATCCGCAACAATCAGAGTGCATCATGGATTTCGGGGCGATTCCCTGTCCAGGCTCAATCGCCAGCTCCGGCAACGCCATTTCCCGAGCACTATCGGCACCAGCAATCTGTCCTTGGTCCGAGCCAACTCTGGCTGAGGTCTGGAAGCGTGCCGACGAGTTATGAGGGAGTGCCGCGTGCTTATATCAAGCTTTCGTCTGTACAGCTGCAACTCTGCAGATACAACTCAGGTGAGGATAGCTACTGCAAGGACCTTTGGGCTGGAGCCTCTTCTAGGTGTGTCCTCGCCATGCATGCTTTAAAGTCTTTAAAGCTCAGGCACAAGAAGACCGCGGCGAGCGGCGCCGCAGAAGAGAGGAGGCACCGGAACAGCTGCACACAGTAAGACTGGCGTGGAGTCCCATCCTTGTCATCAGAGGATGGAAGCAGCGATGATGCTTCCCAATGCTCAGAAGGCAGGTGAGATGGTCCAGAACATCCAAAACTGCGAAAGCTGCAGGTCCTTGCAAGAAGGTGCGGGCTGATGCTGGTAACACTGGTAAGACGTTGGAGCCTCCTGGATTGCGACGAGTCTGTGGTGAGTGTTGTGTCGGACAGAGCTCCTCCCGGGTCTAGTGATCTGTGGGAGATGCTGCTGAGGTCCGCTTGATTGTCCCCACAGGATGCTGAGGGTTCACTAGACTGCCTTCGGCATTCCACATTCCCGACTGGGACCGATGATTCCTGACGGGAGCCCCGCTGCAGAAACAGCGGTCCATTCGCCTGTGCTCTTCTGATTCATAAACTGTGTGTGAAAGATGCGTTCAGCTTGGACATCTTTCTGCTGTGATGGGTGCAGAGACTAGCTGACCAAATGTTGCTTTGCGCAAAAAATCATCATGATCTGTCACATTGCCCACGTCAAGCGGTGCCGGATCCTTGCAGGACGATGCTGATGTGTCGATGTGACATGCAACATGATTATCATTACTATCGCCTTTTCTCTCATGTCGCTTTTATTTAGCAAACGTCTTTCGAAAGCCGTCCCAGATTCATTCAATGTCTCGAACGTGGGTTACATGGATCAGCGTCTCCAATGCCTCTCCTTCGCTAGGAAGGTAGGAGCAACTCCCTGTCGTGAGTAAGAGAGCCGATCCCTGTTAACCCGTTCGGGCCTCCGTACCCAGTTTTGGACCGTCTCCGCAGCGCCATGGACGGTCATCGAGATGACTTGGCCGAGCCGACGGAGCTGGCCGAGTTGGCTGAGGCTGAGCAGGCTGAGCCGGAAATGACGGAGAATGAGCCGGAAGGGATGGAGCTGCGGCCACAGGGTACGCTGGAATTCCCGGATCGACGCGAAGAACGGAATCGACGAGGCATGATCAAATTTAGGCTTGAAAACGGTGTCCCCGATGTCGGTGGTCTCGGCTGGCGGTCTCGAGCGGGACACCTGCTGAAGAATCAGACATTTTATGCATCCCGACCGGGAGAGAACCAGTGGAACAATCCTACACATGCAGGGCCAAGGACTTGGAGGAACTATCATGGACCAAAGCTGCGCACCGATGCAGATCTTATGGAGCGCATGGACCGGATTGAGGCTCAGCACGCGCAGTGGGAAGCCAAAAAGGCTTTTGTCAATACAGTTCGCGTGCAGACTCTGGACAGGTTTTACGGTCGAAAGATTGAAAACGAGCAGAAGGAAATGGCATCGCAATGGGCTCCTCACAGACGGGCCAGAGGGGAGTACCATAAGTACCATGAGACCATGACATCGAACTTGGACAACATGCCAATGAAGGAGTTGAAGAAGGTGTTAACACCAACTGTGCTCCATGGGGACAGAGAAGCCATTCGCTCCATCACGAAGCGCATCCAGACTGAAGAGACGTGGAAGGTTGCCTGGAAGCACATGGAACTGGCGCGCAGGGCAGAAACGCAAGCAGACTTTGAGCATCGGATGACTTACAATGCAATGCTCATGGAGCTTGCGGGCCAGGCTCCCAGACCGCACAATCCGCCTCGTGCAACCAGCCCTTGCTCTCCAACACTGGCCGGGCTAGCACAACCCCAACAACCAAAGCTCATCACCAACATCACCAAACGGTCTGACTACCGTGGTCTTGTACATGTTGATCATGCTGCAGCTTTGGAATCTCGGTTCCCTGGCTGTGGGCATAACCTCGCCACGACATTTTCAAGTGATGTATCTGTGAAGAGCAAGCCGGCTTTTCCACCCCCTGAGCCTCCAGCGACTCCTGTGCCACAGAAGATGGCAGCCACGACAGGAAACATACGCAAGGGATCCGTTCCAGTGGGTCAGAAGCGGCTGCACAGTGTCGGAAGGCGGCAGGACAGCCGTGGGCAGTGCTTTGCTCTTACCAGCCACATGTCTTGTCTTTGAAGGATCCCTCGTTGCTGGCAGAGCATTCACAACACCAGTTCTTGCCCACCTCCGCACCGCCTGCGTGCTTAGCTCAGCAGCACAATCCGCCGAGGTTCGTGGTCAGCCAGGCAGTCATGTTACAGCCGAAGCTTGCCGTCCGGTGACTGTTACGCGAGTCTATTAGCTTGTCGAACAGAGGCCTGATCAGGGAAAAATGCTGCTGCAAGAACCCAACGCAGTGACCCTAGGAGTTTCCAAATACATCAGAGTAGAGTGTGAGCTGAGTCCAGAGTCCAAGGCTGTTGACTCCTTGCACATGAGTCTGGAGTTCCCTCCCCGCTCGGATCACACCAGCCAGAGTGGAAGTCTCCATTCCAAGGACGTTTCAGGGGTTGCAAGTCCTTTAACGCAGCTATGGCACTGCCGTTCCTGATCGCAGGATTCAATATCCAAGCTTGAGCAAGCACCACCATCTCGCCCTATGGTATACCCCGTGACAGTTTCCAATGCCCCGGCCTCAACACGCGGCCGTCTGTCGCCAGACAAACTTGTAAGTTATTTCTCAGCATTTGTACCAGCGATAAGCTTCGTCGAGACCATATTATGGCGACCGCAGGTCGAAGATGACATGCAAGACCCCGACTGGCGTCCGAAGCGTACTCATGGAGCACTGGCTTCGGCCGTGAGCCCAGTGAGGGGAACCAATGCTGCTTCTCAGTTGAGACACCGGCAGGCGACCCCTAGGGAGCAAGCCTTGCAAAGTTCCCGGACAGAGCGCTGGCCCCCTGCGTCCTGGCAGTGAATGTAGTGTCCATGTTTGTTGGGATCAGTGTCAAGGCCACCGGCAGGCAAGATCCAGTGTCAATCCTGTGCCGTGAGCAGCTAGGAGTAGAGTGCAAACTCGAAGGCTCCGCAAATTGAATTTCAACATGTGTAAATGTGGGGAGTAGCCACGTGTCCTGATGCCGCGGACACAGTCAAGCAAATGTTAAATACACAGGGTCAATCTCACATCACTGTGCCACCAAAGAGGCAAGGAAGTCGTCTTTTTACAGGACAATCCCAAGCAGCTCACATAAAACGAGTGCATGCATGGCACAGTACAGCACCCATACTCACATTTGTTTCCGATACCGTGGAGCCAAACGCTACAAAACCAACGACGCTAGTTTTGCGCAGTACTTGCTTCGAGGGGGCAGGTTTGTTTTTTTGCTGACGTTGGCTCTTGTCTGGGACCCTTGGTAAAGTTGGCCTAGGGGGCCTGGTCTTCTGGTCCTCTGGTCCTATGGTCCTTTGGTCCGCTGGTCCCTGACCACAATAGCTTCATACAAAGTCAGAGCAAATGCTGTATTATAGTATTTGCAACCTGGTCCCCTTGGTCCTCCGGTCCTTGTCCGCTGGTCTTTTATCTCTGCTGGTCCCTGGTGGGGCGGGTTTAGCAAATGAGATATATGATGAATAGTAATCGCCAAATGAGGGGGTGTGCTTAAGACATATGACGAGGGGGGTGTTTAAGAAATGTGATGAACCTCGGTCGCCAAATGAGGGGGCGTGTTTAGGATATGCACTTTCGCTAAACTGCTAAGCCTGCCCCCAACTTTTCACAGACCTGCGGCAGCGGCAGGGCTAAAGCAACCACAGTGTCTGTATCAGGTGTTCTGAAAGGATACATATGCGTGCTGTTTCTGCTGGCAGGAAGTGATTTTGAAGCGAACTTGCGCGGCTTAAACAAGCTGGGCGGGGAGCTGACAAAGCAGTGCAAAGCACTGACAGGGAGCTGGTTATTTGTGAGGGATTGTCGATGGTGTCTTGATGCATGCCTGGTTCTCATGTGTGAACCAGCATTTTTCGTGCGAACACTTAGAAACGAGAGGTGGCAGACATGACTTTGCATTCCGTGCACGTGTACTTGACAGACACTCCAGATATCTCCAGATAGATTGTGTTGTTGTTGTTGCTGCTGTTTTTGTTGAGCATATATCTTGAGCACGCCAAATCATGTGTCGATTCCAGTTCATCATACATCTTACACATGCCGCTCATTTATCATGTGGCGATTGCCATCATACTTTTTAAACACGCCCTTTCATGTGCCGATTCCGTTTCAACATAAATCTTAAACACACCCCCTTCCCCCTATTGGGCGATTCAGGTTCATCATAGAATCGGAATTGGCAAATGAGGAGGCGTGTTCCCCAAGAGCTTGATGCAAAGCAAGACCCTGCAAATTGGAATTCCCCAATAGCTTGACACAAGACAGGAGCCTCGAAATTGTAATCCCTCATTAGCTTGAGGCAAAGCAAAGCCTTGTAAATTCTAATTCCACAACAATAACTTGGCGCGAAGCAACACCCTGCAAGTCGTAATTCTTCAGTAGCTTGACGCAAGACAAGCGACGCGAAATTGCAATCCCCCAACAGCTTGGTGCAAAACAAAAATTTGCAAATTGTTAATCCCCACTAGCTTGACACAAGACAGGAGCCTCGAGATTGTAATCCCCCAATAGCATGGGGCGAAACAATACTCTGCAAGTTGGGCTTGCAAATTGTACTTGTCCAATCGCTTGACACAAGACAGGAGAAGTTGCACTCCCCCAATAGCTTGATGCAAAACAGTAGCGCATGCTGCAATTTGCAGTATTTGACAGGAGACAGGAGCCTCGAAATTGCAATCCCCCAATAGCTTGCGGCAAAACGCCACCCTGCTAATTGCAATTCCCCGATAGCATCAGTAGCACATGTTGCAATTTACAGTATTGCAACCAAAAAGGAAGAGCCAAGGTTAGCAAATGAGATCGGGGACCGCCAGCGTTAGGGAAAGCAAACCCCCTCCGCCCTTGCTTCGAGCACCAGAAGTCGAACATTCAAAGAGTTTGGCGCGGTGGTCGGCCCAAGCAAAAAAAGTGGGAATGGCAAGCCCAAGCTGCTTCACAGAATCCGCACCAACAAACATGCCTTCCTGCTTGGATTCAACGGGAGGGGCAGTGTGTTTGCAATTGACCCCAACTTGAGTTCGTTCTAGTACTCACCAGGGACCAGCAGCAAGTTTAGGCGAAGCATGCGGTGCTCTGCAAATGCGGAAAGAGATGACCTATGATCAAAACGGCGAATGCATGCTGCTTCAAAGTCAACAATAATAAGTAATTCTTTTTGTGCGTCTGTACTTTCACACTCAGGCTCGTGGGTTTGGCCTAGGCTTTCAGGGTCGAGAGTTCCGGGTTTCAAAGGGTCCGGTTTTACAGCACAGTTTTTGCTTGTTTGACCCTTGATGCGTAGAACTTTCAT